TGGATAAAGAATAGAATAGAAAATAGAATAGAATAGAATGGATTGGAATGGAATGGAATGGAATAGAATAGAATAGAATAGAATAGAATAGAATAGAATAGAATAGAATAGAATAACCGAGTTGGAAGGAGTCTTGGAGGTCTTGTAGTTCAGCCCCCAGATCAGGCAAGACAACCTATACAATTTCAGACAAAGGCTTATCCAATCTCTTCTTAAAACTTCCAGTGTTGAAGAATTCACAGTTGTTCCACTGATCAATTGTTCTAATTGTCAGGAAATTCCTCCTGAGTTCTAAATTGTTTCTCTCATTTATTAGTTTCCACCCGTTGCTTCTTGTCCTGCCCTCTGGTGCTTTGGAGAATAGCTTGACTCCCTCTTCTTTGGGGCAGCCCCTGAGATATTGGAAGACTGCTATCATGTCTCCCTTAGTTCCTCTTTTCCTCAGACTAGACAAACTCAGGTCCAGCAACCGTTCTTTATGTTTTAGCCTCCAGTCCCCTAATCATCTTTCTTGCTCTTCTCTGCACTCCTTCCAAAGTCTCAACATCTTTTTTTACATCGTGGTGACCAAAACTGGATGCAGTATTCCAAGTGTGGCCTTACCAAGGCATTATAAAGTGGTATTAACACTTCAAGTGATCTTTATTCTATCCCTCTGTTAACGCAGCCTAGAACTGTGTTTTTTGGCGGCGGCTGCACACGGCTGACTCATATTTAAATGATTGTCCACTACAACTCCAAGATCCCTCTCACAGTTACTACTATTGAGCGAGGTACCACCTATACCGTACCTGTGTGTTTTGTTGGCCACAGCAAGTTGGCTGCGACTAGTTGTCATAGATCCCTCTGCTTATGCCTTTCACTTTGTCCTCCTCAGCTGGAGGACTTCTCTCATTAAATCTCACCCGGATCTGTTTCTGCTCAGTGTTTAAGGCTCCCCTAGTTTTTATCCCTTGCAGTTTTGATCATTTTCCTACCTTCCTTCTTATTTTGTGTCCTTTGCAAGAAAATCAGGCCCCGAAATCAGTTTTATTTGTCCCCTTATGTTCATTGGCCCATGGCATGATTTATCACCAAAGCCCTTCAGTTTCCTACATAGGATAAACCGTCATTCTCCGTGCAGAAAGTTCAACTGAGTTGCATTTTACATTTAAAAAGAATGATTTCCACTGGTGAAATGGGGCTTTGATTCCCCAAAGTGCTACTGATCTAAAAAGAGAAATTAATCTCTTCCACAGTCGTATTAAAAGAAGATTCCAGTGGGGAATTGCACAATTAGAAATGATCGGGGTTTTTGATTCTGTTACTTTGGGGACAGAACAAACACGATCGTTTCTCCATCGCACTAAGGCGGTGCTGATCGGCACGCAACGAAGTGCTAATTGCATTGTCACAATCTGGGGTGCCTGCGTTTCATTTACCCAGAACTTTAACAATTCTGCAACCTGATAAAATTAAATCCATATCTTGTATATCTGCCACATTCCGCCAATCCGCAAAAGAGATCCTATATCAGAGGTCTCCAAACTTGGCAACTTTAAGATCTGTTGTCTTCAACTCCCAGAATTCTCCAGCCAGCTCTGACTATCCCATTTCAGACAAAGAGTTGTCCAATCTTTCTTAAAATCTTCCAGTGTTGTAGCATCCACAACTTCTGGAGGCAAGCCGTTCTATTGATGGATTGTTCTAACTGTCAGGAAAATTTCTCC